CCCTGAAAGAGGAGGGAGATATTTCACCGAATTTCTCACTGATGGTCCATCGAGCAATGAAATAAGCGTTCATTCTCTCTCAGGTATTGCTGGTGATAGTGAGTCAATGTCGTTTTTCCAGGAAGGAAAACAAAACATGGAGAGATGACTGCCAATGGAACGGTGAGGATGCATTCTTGTTCGTGAGCTGGTAAGGATAGACATAGAGGAAAGAATTTACCTCTTAAGAACAAAATCTGTTCAGAGAACTTCCATGAATTTTCGACATAATTCCGCCTGTCACCACGGTTTACGCTCGGATGTCAGGTCATGTGTGTCTCACGCGAGCCGTCTCGTACGGAAGACCGACAAACAGAATTACACGATCCGATTGCTGATATCTGGGAACACAGATCCCGAACGATAGTACGAGTAGGAAGTAAAGTTTCTCTCGGTTTAATCAACCTGCAGCTGGGGTTACTGGCTACCAGAATATCGAGTCGCTTCCTCCTCAAGCGCATTCTCTACACGAGGGATATTCGTGGACCGAGTCTCGTACAGCCTTCTAGCATAGGAGAAGGTGTGAATATGTGTATTTTTCTCCCACTGCTTTTCTCACATTTCTCGGTCGCTTTTGCGTTTTTATCAATTTGGGGGGGGGGGGGGCGAATGCTCTGCGCTGAAATCCGTAATCCGGCCAGCAGGGGACATTGTGTCATGTTCGGTTAAAGAATATGACAAAAATGGAAAATCGATTTCTAAGCAGCAATAAAAAAATGGGTACATCGCAGCGCAAAATCTTTTTTGGCGCAGATCCGCTTAAGTATATTAATTTCTCTTTCCTCGTCTGTCAAATATATTTGCCCATATGTATCATAACTCTTATAAGTTCATACAAAATGAATTATGACAATATTAAAACTTAATGACAACCTGTTCTACAAACCATTTTTGACTGTTTCCTTTTGGTGACAATGGATCACACCATGTAATGTTTTAACGTAATAGAATTTTACTAGAGTTTTCACGAGTTTCTGGCTTACAGAAAATATTGTTTCCTCCAGTTTCTTTAAATGTGATAAGTTATGAATTACTCATCTACAAATTATTTTCATTTTTATTACTTTATTTACAGAAGCCGCTTTCCTGAATGCAATTCCCACACAGCTCCCCACATGCTCAATATTCCCCACATGCTCAGCAATTCCCACATGCTCAATATTTAAGGCTTTCTTATGTCTGCAAGACTCAAGAAACTGTTTCAAACTGTATTATGAATTGTAATTTGTCTTTTTTTCAATAGTGAAGGAAAGTAGATCAAATTGCTTACAGTAATACTTTGATTTATTTTTATTTACATATAATAAACGAATATTAATGCAATATTTGTTTTACAAAAAGGTTCAAAACAATAATTCATATTTATATCTGACTTAAATTTGTGTGCGTGTAAACACACAAGATCAATAAGGCTCAATGTCACCTACGGGAACACATGAATTTACAAAAGTGGCTCAGTAAATTGTTTTTTCAACATTTTTCTCAATGCTGGGATAAGAAAAAAAATTAAACAAAAACTTCAATAAAAATATTCCTGGGTCCGAGGAGGTTAATGGATTTTTCAACAATTCACTTATAATAACACACTAAGGAAAGCAGGCGGTATTGTATAATGGAAATCATATGTCATTAGACCCAATAAATGTGCAACTGCTAGATAGGATAATAATCCCCCCTCCCCTCAAAAAATTTCAGATTTAAAAAGAAAAATTAATTCTGTAATTATGCTATGAACAATTTTAAAGAGTAAACACACAAGACATACACATGGAACAACATATATTTCTGTTGCACATAGCATGAAAGTGTTGCTTTCTATGCCCTTTAAACTCAGTTTCCAGATGTCTTTGGAACACTGAGTTATTATTCTTAAGATAGTAATCTACAAAATGGAACCTATATGGACTTTGTATGATATTTTAAGATACTTAGAGTCAGAAACGTCCAGAATCCCAAAATTGTATAATTAAATCAAATATTTGATTGTGTGCAATTTAATTGTGTGGATATAACAATAAATCTATCTTATTTCTGAATAAATGTGTAACAATATTAGAATGTTTATCTATAAAGGCGTGATATTTTAATACTGTTTTAAGATGGAATCATAAGCATGTGTAGCCTAAAACAAGAGGGGGCAACTACATTTCTGGGTCCCCTTATTTCCACTAAGCATTTTATTAACATACAATATAAATTACTAGGAAATAAATAAAACATATACAATTTTATGTTGAACTATTTACACATTGCCAGCTGGTTTGACGAGCTGCTTCCCCAGATGTTGATAATTTATTCCCCAAAATGTCAGAAATTGTCAAAGGTGAAAATCAGAAAATGATATTTCCGGAATTTTAAAAAAAAATTTCTTAGAGCCTGAAGGCACTTCTGAAAATTTCAGGGCGACCATAGCTCCTTCCTCTGTGCACGTAACAATTCTTATTATAGCAAAAATGCTGTAGGGGATTTATTATAGCAGTAATTATATAAAAACTTCTAACATTCTTTTATTCCTTTTTGAAGACAAAACAAAAGTACTGTTTTGTTTTCAAAAATATGAGTGACATTACTCTCTTGGCTATGATGTCCATAAATATCATAAAAGAAAAAGAGTTGTAACTGATTGTAATGAAAGATGGAATTGTAGACTTTGTTAAAAAATAATATAATGAAACTCTTACAACACTACCTACATATCTCATGTTGTTGCCCACATCAACATTGTTGAATTAATGACCATTTCACAGGCACAGTATTGGACTTACAGACTGTTCAAGACCTCTTTGACATGGGTTCAGGATGCAGGTATTTTCACTATCAAAAGAATGATTTACAAAGTAAGAGACATTTGCACAGGCCCAAGTAGATTTTTATTATTTGTAATGAAACTATTCATTATCTTCTCTATCTGTTGGATGCATCCTATATGTGAGATAAAAAAATTTCCACTAATTGTACGAGTGTATGCATTAAAATAATAGCATAAAATCAAACAGAAACTAAGCAAAATTTCAACAATATTACAAAACCCTGTTCACACAAAATTGAGAAAAGCTACAAAATTAATAATGATGACATTTTACCAATAAATATAACTCTTTCCCTAGCTACACCAAAATGTGTTGTTGAACCACAAGTAAAATATTTTAGAATACAATTAGAATAAATACATACATACATATACATATATATACATATACATACATACATATACATACATACATATACATATACATATATATATATATATATATATATATATATATATATATATATATATATATATATCTGTGCAAACAAATATTTTTTAATGTTTTATAACAATAATTTTAACATGGATCTCAAAAGTGGTTTTTCAAGAGAAAAACATTTTAAGTTTCCATTACAAGCTAATAAAAATATGATCACTTTCTGTCATTTTAGCATATATACAGTTAATTTCTGTGGTATGCGCTATGTCATTTGACAAATTTAAAGACATGGCACCTGTTAAAATTTAGCTATTGAAAAATATTTTTTTGAAGTTACTTAATGAGTTTGTTTACTCTGTCACTTAATGAAAAGAAAGAATATAAAAAAGTTATAGTATAAAAATTTGTTACAAGAATTTTAATAAACAATACTCATGAAATATTTTATTTGACATCAATTTTAAAAATTAATGAAATTTGTTTAGAAAGGTAAAAAGTTATCTTCCAAAATAAAGATCTTTATTATGATCTCAATCTTTATTGTGGAAGAAACTTCTTTTTACCTATCCATATGGATTTCTACAAGATTTCTGCAATAACCACTGACTTTATACTCGTCTATTAAAGATACAAACATAGATAACACTTAATACATGGAGCAGCAGAACACTTCTCCTTCACTTCACTCTCTTACACTTTTCCCCATCACCCAGTTTTTTGACGTTAAATAAGTAAATAAATAATTAACAAGAAATAGAACTGCAATTGTTTATTGGATCACTGTATGTACAAAAAGATAAAATGAATTGAAATTATGATCAGTTGAGGCAAGTATTGTAATAAAATACTTTTTTCATCCTGAAATATCAATAAAGTAATTATTACATAAGTAACATATGGTTTTATTTATCGTCTAACACCCAATTGAATTTGTTCATATTTGAAAAGTTATCTGTAAACTCAGTAGAAATGTACTCTGGTTTATTCGAAGTAAAATGATCAGCTCAAAGTATGACAGTGCTACACCCATGCAGAAGAAGATTAACAGATGAAATGCATTATTTGACGAGGAATTTGGGGGAAGTCAAAGATGAAATAATATGAAAAATTTGGGGGAAAATATCTACCATCATAACTGAATGAACTTGCCATGAAATTTTTAGCATTTAAATGGGGAGAAGAAGACAGTCTCAGCTAAGGGTCAGAGGAAATAAGGATAGTTTGGAAAAAGAAAAGAAATTGGCAATAACTACTAGTAAATTCGAATGCTTAAATGCACTTGTTCCATTTAAAAATGTATCTAGATGTCTAAAAGGTAAATACACCAGAGAACCATTTATGATTTCCATCAAATTGAACTGACTTTGGTGTCTTTGAGATTTGTTTTTCTTCTATTTTTCCTTCCTCTGATGTCAATTGCCATTTAATACAAGTTCCAAAAGCATTTTAATGAATGGTGGTTATGATAAACAAATATTTCTATCATATAGTCAAATGAAATATTCGTATGAAATATGATCACAGTAACTGAACTTCATATCAAACACTCTCACAAAACATTGAAGGCATTTTCACAAGAATGTTTCATAATGCCTTAACAACCTTATTTTATAAGTATTATTCTCTGCATTGTAACAATGTCAAAATGAATTAGTAACATTTAATAAATTTTACAAATAACCAAACATGTTCTAATATCCACTACTTTTAGAAACCTCAATTTGTATCACACAAAATATTTTCATTTAAAAGTTTAAAAATAATGCTTACCTTAACAGTTAATTCATGAAGGCCTGTAGCACTGCAGTGTTCTAAGCTGGAATACAAGCCTGCACACTGGTCCATGCGCAAGGTCTCCACCATTGAATGATCCAACTTCTTTATTTCCTTGTCCATGAGTATCGATAGGAGGTCAAGCAAGGAGTACACATCACTACTAAAAGGATAACATTAACTGATCAATTTAATTCAATAAATTCAAAATTACAAGAAAAGAAAAGGTAGTTTACCCCAAATGTAAAGTTGCAAGTTGAACAAGATGTTCTCTTATTCCTGCATGTAGGGATGACTGAATGACAGCTCTCAACATCTCTACACAGTCAGATCTTTCTACACTCTGACAGAGGATATGAAATACCCTTTTCAAGCATAAGTCATAAAGTGTCTGAACTTGAATGAATGGAGGCATGTCATCCAATTTTTTGAATAATTTGTTAAGGTAAAGTTCTGAAATCAAAATATCCAAATACTTTTCCCACTCAAAGAAATATGATTAACACATACAAAATGTATGAGAGTAAATAAATATTAATCCATATACAAAATTACAAATTGTTACCTGCTAAACACTGTAAATAAAGCTTCCGGTACCCTCTCTGCTTCTATGACAGCAAAGTTAAACAAAACTCCGTGTATCTTTACTTCGTTTGCTTTACGAGTACATTTTCCCATACTTACAGATGAATTACGTTTTGAATCGGCCAACGAAAGAGAAAACTATTATGCATATTACTTATTTAGAAGACAGAAAATTACCACTGCTTCTTTGTGATCCAAAGAACGTCAACAGGAACTTGTGTGCGAGACAATTATGGACTGCATGTGCCAGCTGTTTATGGGTGTTTCCTGTACTGTAAAGTGAACAGTTGTCATTACATAAAAACACGGCACAAGGCTCACCAACTTGTTCTGTAGCTTCAGCGAGAAGTGTCACACTCTGTCATTCTTTACAAAATAGAATTATGAAGTTAAACAATCTCGTATGTCAAGAACCTCTTCGTCAGCATTCACCACTTTGGTACACACCGGTCGTCTTGTGCCCTGTCCACGAGGGAACGTGCTGAACAGCTGATATATTTGCAAAAAATAGTACATGATATTGAAAGGAAAACTGTCGATACACGTCATCTTTGAACTGTTGTTGGCTCAAGCCAGGGTCAGTTTTTTCATACAAACACAACAGCCAGTTTTCTATGCAACTTCAATTATTGTAATATGACGAACAAGTGGTCCGTCAGGAAAATATCCATACGCCGAACACCGGTGAGTTGGTTGTACAGTAGTGTTTACACAGTGCGTGCATAACGTACGTCAAAGTGGTTTTGTTCCTATTATTGTTGTTATGTGAAGGTTAGTTTGCAAGAGTATATGCTTTTGTTGGCAAGATGTTAAATTCCATTTTTATACCGATAGCTACAATCATTATCATAGCTTGTGGCTAGGTGGATTGAACTCGCATCTCTTTGGAGTAATCATTGCAAAGGCAGCCATTTTGTATGGATTCCGGTTGACGAATTGAAATATTTTCCATAAATACTCTGTTTCTTGAAGAGGGAGGAGTTCTGAAAAATGACATCGTTTTGTCCGTTGTTTACATCAGTTATTTATTTCATAGGCTCTTTTTGTTTGTAAATGTGTTGTAAAGTAGTAATTAGTATTGAGGTTGGAGAACTTCAAGTACGTCTTAATTAATGTAAGGCAGAATTGTTTTTGAAAATGAATTCAAATGGTAATTATTTTAAGATGTTCCAAAACTCCTCCACGTCGGCACATTTGGATTTCGAGATTTGCACAGTCGTGGGTAGTGTTCCTGTTGATCAGCTGCGAGCAGTGCGCCGAGCTTCACTCTCGGAGTAATTTTCGTGACTGGTTGTGAAGAATTGATAGTATAGAAGTACAGTGTCAATTTTTGTTATTTCAGAGAATGTAGCTAGCAGGCAAAATAAATTATTTTATATGAAGTTGACATTACTGTTCACACCAGTTTTTATAGACTTAATGTCATTCTTGTGGATTAATTGACATACTGCACTGCATAAATAAGCAATGACTATGACCAGAGGCCAAGGTGTAGCTGTGGATCCACCTGATGGGCCATCAAGTACACCTGTTTCGGTAAGTCAGTTCAAATGTGTAGATAGTGCTTACGCTTTTAGTTCTAAAACTCTTGTTCTTTTTAACCTCAAATTTCTATTGTCTGTTTCTTTAATGTTAGCTTTTGGTTGTTTATTGTGTGTGTTTGGTTATTAACTTGCATAATTGTTGATTGTGTAAAGAATTTAAGAGATGAAATAACTTAAGTTTCCAATGTGGCTTGAGAAATATTTGTGTGATTGTAAGAACATGACTAGAAATTGATTATTGTAAGATCAAGTGTGTTATTGCTGTCTAATTGTTTCTGCGGTGGTGAATAGTGTCATGGTTGAAAATTGGTGATGTATAGTGTCATGGTTCATAGTTTTTTTAAAAGTGCTATTGTATTAAATTAATTATTCATGAAGTATTAAGGCATGGGTTTTTTTTTTTTTGTCTTAAAGCAATCTTACATGTATAGGTAAAGAAATTGAAATGGTGTCAATTGTGACCTTCAATAATAATTTATTTCAACATTCAATACTTTTTTAAACATTTAATTTAAAAATTGAACTTAAATTTTTATAATTGCATATAAATAGAAGAAAAGAATTTGATTTTCTTCTGTTTGACAGCAACCACAGATATCAGCTGGCACAGGTGCTAGTCTTGAACCTGGAGAAGGCTCACCCAGTGACCCACAATTACCAACTACAGTTGGTAGTAGTAGCAGCAGCAGTGAATTGATAAGAGAAGAAAATAATGGCTCTGTACCTCCCATGACATTGGGACAAGAGCCTGACTTCCCACTTGCTAAGTTGGCCATGTTGGATGAAAAAATTTCAAGCCCACGATGGGTAGTTCCTGTATTGCCTGATCAAGAACTCGAAGTTCTTTTAAATGCAGCAATTGATCTCTGTAGGAAAGGTAAAGAGAGAGATAATATACTATATAATTCTTCTGTTAGTAAAAAGTGGCTTTAGCTTTGTTAAGGTTTTGTTGGTCAGAGTAAGTTTTTTGGACATAAAAAAAAAAAAATAAGTTTACATTTCTTTCTTTATTTCCATTTTTTAAAAAATTCTTTAAGGGCTCATTCACAACTAAAGTTATTTTTTTAAACTTATGAAATCATTGGAAGAAGAAATTATTTAAGACCCATACATATTCATGAAGATGAAAATAACAATTATAATTAACTTAATAATTAGTTTGTATTTGTGGATAAAGAAAATTATTTTAATTTAATTTTTTTTTATTTCATTAACAGTTTGGACCGTTAAAAACTACCAATTTCCGTATTTTGCTGAGGCATTATAAATCTTTATTTTCTAAATTCATTTTCTTGACTTAGTTATTTAATGTAATATTTTTAAAAAGTCACGTGTGATTCAAGGAAAATTGTTTTCTTTTCTAATATAAGTGGACAGTAAGAATTGCAAAACAAAATAAATTTATAAGTCAATGCCTTTGGTCTTTGGTCTACACCTAATAATTATTGAAGATCCATTGAGCATTTAAAATAAAAAAAACGATAAGTTAGTGTTGATAAAAGTGAAGTAGTTTGCTACTTAGATGGGTGTTTGGCACTATTTGGGTGAATGTTTATATTGATAAATTAGATGAAAATTCTTTGCAAGTAAAAAATTTGATCTTCAAAT